CTAAATCAATCTAAATAAATCAAAACCACCAAGGGTTCCATGACATGCCCTGTGCTGTTTCTGGGGATCTGAACAGACATATACTCCCTCAGTAGGTAACAATGGTAGATCTTGTCAGGAACCTACCCTGCTTCCCCTTCAGGCACTGGACAAAGCCTCGAGTCCACTTCTTGGGGGCCATGTTGAGGGGGATGCCAGAGAGCTCACTGTTGATGTAGAGGGCACATTGCAGCTGCAGGAAATCCCAGTCCTCCATGATCATCTGCATCTTGGCTCCTGAGATCCGGTGCTATGAGTTCAGAAAGATCAGAAACAAACCTTCTCTCTGAGTTTTCTTGCATTCTAGTGAGCTAACATCTCTAGATGCATGTGGTACAGAATGTACAAGTTAACGGGAAACACTGACCTTTTTAATAACATCATTTAGGAAAAGGATCTCTGTTAGTTTCATTGTCGGGTCATCTTCATTGGTTCCAGACTTCAAATCACTCATGACAGAGGGTCTGATACACAAGGGAGGCACCAAAAGTCGGGTGAGAATCAAATCAGAGGGCTTTCCAGTTCTGGGTTCATCAGAAGTAAAAGGACATCTTCATCGGGGATGCACTTAAACAAATTCAGAACAACTAAGGGATTCAAGTTCTCCTATAGGAAGTAGGAAAGAAGGAAGCAGATAGTAGGTTAGTTTCCTCAGGGTTGGTAGTTATCTGTTGTGTCATGTGTTGGCTCCACACTGTCCTTGGAAGAAACAGGTGCACTCTAGGATGAATTTTAGCCTTTGCTGCTGCAGGGGAGTCAGCCTGTGTCGAACTGACTCACCATAGCTTTGCAAAGGGCTTTTTTATGGAGTACAGTTCACATCTCTAACAAGTCAATTTCTGCATAGAAAAACATCTTATCTGAAGCTCCCCAAAGAGACAAATGCCATAGCAATTCCCAGCCACACGACATCTCATATGAGTCCTCCCATAACCAAGCTTCACATAGACTTTGAATCTTTAGGAGACTCTCAGATTAGATTTACATATTTCAAACACAAGTTACTGGACACAAAAGGTAGCAGTCACAAAGGGCAGATCAAAGCCAGGGGCCAACACTTTGGAATCAAACCAGCTGCAGAACTCTGCAGGAACTCTAGATACAGTTATCTATCCTTCCCTATGTTTGCTTTTCTGAAGACAGGATCCCACGCAGCCTCAAACTTGCTATGTGCTGGAGACTTTCCTAGGGCGAGCTGACCAGTGAACCCTAGGATTCTTCGAGTCTCCACTTTTCCAGAGTTGGGGTTATAAACATATACCATCATACTGGTTCCTTGACCACATGTGGGTTCCGGATAGTCAACTGAAATCCTTTCACAAGCACCTAACTACTGAGTTTGTTTTCTTTTTATTACAATCAATATTTTCTTAATAAGTTTATGTTACCTTTGAATTAAGTTGATTAGTGTAAGTGTTATGTTGTGGAGGAGGGGAAGGGCTCACAACACTCCACCCTAGCTAAGGAGCCATTGCTAGTTTATGGCTTTTAGGGAGGGGAGAGGCTCCTGGTGGGTTAACTGTGTTCCAGCAGATGACCCCATACCCTGAAGAGAGGGGCAGCATAAATTTGACTTGGTGGGTTATTTAAAGAAAGAGAGAACATGAAGTTGGGAAGGGATAGGCAGTGGATCTGAGGAGATTTAGGGGAAGAGTAAGGTGTGAACATGATGAAAATATATTGTATGTATGTATGAAATTCTTAAAGATTGACAAATATATTATATTATATTTATATATGAATTACTAACTTATTAAGAACTCTGCAAATTACTAGAGATCTAAAAATCCCAAGAATGGAGCTGGGCAAGTGTCACACATCTTTAATCCTGCTTTTCAAGGTGCATGCAGGTCAGCCTGGTCTATATAGTAATCTCCAGGACAGGCAGGACTAAGTAGAGCAATGTTTCTCAACCTTCTTGATGCTGAGACCCTTTAATACAGTTCCTCATGTTGTGGTTGTGAGACCAAAATGAGCCATCTTAGAAATAAGACCAAAATGCTTTCACCCTAAAATTAAGGCCTAAGATTTCTCCTTTTGG